TGTGACATCAATCCCACAAAAACAGACAGCTGTTTTTAAGGAATGGTAAAGAGAAGTAGACCACTGCATGTTTAATTAAAGATTCAGTCCTTTTAATCCAGCAGAAATGTGATCACCAACCCAGTAAAAATGTAGACTTCAGAGAATAAGTACATATTTTCTTGATTTTTGTTTGGTCAGTTTTTGTTCTTTTAATAGAGAAAAGCTTTAGGACCTATCTGCTCATTACGGGATATCAGACGCAGTGTTGGTTTCTGAGGCAGTTTCCCTCACCCTCCGAAAGAGAAGTCTGGTTTCATCATGCTCAGGGCATGTCACATGCATTCCATCTGGAACTTGCTTAGAAAAGAAAGAACTAAACTTGGATTATGGATGCTATTTTAAATGAATGTGGCTCCCTCTTCTGGTGGAAAGCATGAATCAATAATAAAATCAAGTGAAAAGGAGATCAGGGGGTCAGCCTTTTTCTCTCCTTATTCTAGAAGTGTAGCTCAACACAATACTCCTAATAAGGAAACTAGACAACAACAGATCCACTAGTCTCCCACTCTGCCATAATACTAAATAGTGAAAGGATTAACAACTTATTCTAGAAGTGTAGCTCAACACAATACTCCTAATAAGGAAACTAGACAACAACAGATCCACTAGTCTTCCACTCTGCCATTAATACTAAATAGTAAAAGAATTAACAACTGAAATGCAGCAAAAAGGGAGGGGAAAAATTTGCTTTGGAATATAGAATAGTGAAATACTAACCAATTCTCTGAGAACTATGTTTAAAAAGGCATTTGAGATTAAAATAATTAAGTTCTTCTTCAAAGAATAACAGTACTCTGGTCTTTAGATCTGTTAAAAATAAGCCAGTGTTACAAATATGTCTAAGTTACAGACTGAGAGAACTATCAATAAATACAGCTTTAAGAAATTACCATTGACCCAATTCTCCTGGGGGAACATGTAAACATAAAACACGAAAATGCCAATCTCACTTCTTGATTTTTAATGACATCAAACTGACAACGTTAAAAGTATCCATCACCTATCTACCAGTAAATCTTATGAAGACTTTGGATACTAAAATACTTTTATTTACTAGAAATAAAGATTTAATGATTATTTATCATTAAGCCAAAAATGCCAACAACCTTAAAGATGGAGTCAAACATCTGTACTTTGATGAATTTCAGTAGCAAAACAATATTACAGATGGATGATGAACAAGCCAGTTCCTAAATACATTCTAATAGATTGAGGATAATAGCAGCCTACGAAATGGTTAAACAGAGAAAACAAAAATATAATCCTAACTCTCCAAACAGAATAGCCCATTTAGACTCTCACATTTTGTCTCTTAACACTTCATTGATTGCTAAATTATATTCACTCCTGAATGACCCCAATGTTTCTGCATCACAAATCCTGGCACTTGCTAGAGGCTACAGCCCAGATTTATCATATCTTTATGAAAGGGGTTAGCACTGGAAGCAATGCACTGTGCCTCCATGCAGAAGGTTCAAGTTCAGGAGGTCTGGGGGCAGCATCCTGTGCCAGGGGTAACCAGAGAAAACCCAGGGGCTATTATGCTGGATCTCTGAGGACTGCCCCCTTTCCCCACCCCAATGGAAGATGAGGTAAACTCTCTAGATTTGGGGATGACAGGAGGCTGGGGTGGGATACTGCCAAAGACAACTTGGGTAAAGGTCATATTTTCTATTTTTTTTTCATATAAGGCAGCATATTTTAACTCTTGGGGGGGCTGGAGAAAAGAAAAAAGATATGGAATGCACTGTGCCTCCATGCAGAAGGTTCAAGTTCAGGAGGTCTGGGGGCAGCATCCTGTGCCAGGGGTAACCAGAGAAAACCCAGGGGCTATTATGCTGGATCTCTGAGGACTGCCCCCTTTCCCCACCCCAATGGAAGATGAGGTCAACTCTCTAGATTTGGGGATGACAGGAGGCTGGGGTGGGATACTGCCAAAGACAACTTGGGTAAAGGTCATATTTTCTATTTTTTTTTTTCATATAAGGCAGCATATTGTAACTCTTGGGGGAGCTGGAAGAAAGGAAATAGATATGGACACACTGAGTATTATTCACACTAACAAAGAGTCCCCTTGACTAACCTGAGGCTATTCTAAAATCGCTTATCAGGTAAATTTGCACTTTTGGACTTCTGTGTTCAACTCTGCATTCTTGAAATTTAGCAAGAGTCCTGCCCTGTCAGTTCTGACAGAATTCCCACCTTCTATATCTGATCATCTTCCATATCTGATCTCGTTCCTCATCTTCCACCCTCCTCCAGGTGAACTGATCACCCAGGTCTGCCTTCAGCGAGAATCCTAGTAAATTGAATTAACCAGAAATCCCCATACCATTCTCCGACCCAAGCCTGCTCCTTGGCTATAAAGTTTCACTTTTGCTTATACTCTTATTGAGCCCAGTTCTACATAGAATTCTCTCCCCTACTGCAAAGATCCTGAATCAAATATCTTTACTAATTTAATCACTGGTTAGCTCTGACTTTTGACAATATCTACACCATATGACAGATACACCAAAAATGTAGGTTACTGGGATAGTTGTAAATGACAGACGTATCATAAATCTGAAAACCAGGAGAAAAATAAAAAGGATAGAGAGAAGACAGGAAACTACACCCTTTTTCCTGGTGATTAAAAAAAAAAAAAAGCACATAATTAGCCTTGGTACACTGCCATTAACTAAAGAGTTTACTTGAACTTCATCAATTTTTCTATTAATGTTCCATCTCTGTCCCGAGATCCTATCCAGGATCCAATATGGCATTTATTATACCTCCCTAGTCTCTTCTAAGCTGTAACATTTCCTCAGTCTTTCTCTGACATTTACAACCTTGATAAAATACCCCTTCTATTTAAGTTTTTCTGATATTTTCTTATTTTGGGACACGTTATATATTTTAGAATATATGAGCAAAAATAGTGTATCTTATCAAGAGGTGTGTAATATACTATATCTTGATACTGGTGATGTTTAACTGGATCGCTTGTTCAGGTGAAGTCTTCCAGGATTCCCTACTGTAAAGTTAACATCTTCTCTTTGCATTTAATATATATCTTGACTGATTTGTGTTGAGATTAGGAAAATTCTATCTTTTCCCTAAACTTCCACAAATTTTAACATCTATCAGTACATACTCATGGAAATATATGAATATTCTATTCTACAGGTTAAAAATCCAATATTGAGGTCATTTACATTATTCATTGTTTTTGCTCAAATTGTTCCAGCTTTGGTCATTAAGAGCTTCTCTAGCTTGGATTCTGTGTTCTTTTGAGAAATCCCATGTCTCCAGAGGTATTTCCTTACTTTTTGAAACAAGAAAATATTCCAAGTTCATCTCTTATTTTCCCTGCCCAAGTTTTGGAATCAAGTTCTCCAAAGAGAATCAGTTCATTTTAATAGAGTATAGTGTTTAGAAAGCAATGGAAACTAGCAGATGCCATAATAGTTACATTGCTGGATTCCCACACAGTCACCTGTGTTTTGAGTCTCAGACTCAGTGGCTTAAAACTCATGCTAGGCGTGTATGCCTACATGCCCAAAATCCAGAGCGGAGAATGGAGAAGAGATTGCCGCATAGCCATCCCCCTGGGCAGTGATTTCCCTTTGTCTTTCTGGCAAGCACACATGCCCTATAGCAAAACTCTGGGCTTCAGTTGTATTCACTGAGAATGGAATACCATTACTTCAAGCCTTTTAGGTGAACAGAGCTAGAAAACATGTGTGTTAGTATGTGTGTGTGTGTGTGTGTGTGTGCACGCATGCACTTATGGTAAAGTATATGTGCTTATGTGTCTAAATGAGTTTCAACATATACCTCAGCATGTGTGTGTGTGTGTATGTGTGTATATATATACACACATATATACACATATATATATATATGTGTGTGTGTGTGTGTGTGTGTATCAAGTACATAAGATGTGTGTATATAGTTCCGTGGCTATACACATACAGTTATACAGATGTATAACCACAGGTTTTCACTGGTAACTGACCCCAATTAACACTGCAAAGTTATTTTTAGCATTCTTCTTTTTCCTTATCTATAACTTCTTTTACAACAGCAAAAACTCAACTTTTATTATGTACAATATAGTTTGTTTTTTTTTTTAAGAGGTTTTTGCTATAGGGCGCGTTCGCTCGCTAGACAGACAGAGAGAGACAGAGAGATAGAAAGTGAGAAATCACCCCCCAGGGGGGATGGCCACGCCGCAATCCCTTCTCCTCCATTCTTCTCTTGGGATCTTGGGCACGCACGTACACGCGCCCAGCGTGAGTTTAAGCCACCAGGTCTGGGACACAAACCGCGGTCGACTATGTAGGAGTCCAGCAACATAGCCATTACGCTAACAGCTGGTCTCTGTACAATATAGTTATTTAATTCTAATAGACAAAGTATTTCAGAATCGTCAATTCATATTCTTGTGAGAAACATCTATAGTAATAGAAATATATAATAGCATTTATGTACAATTCTGTTTGTAGCCTTAGAGTATCTAGTCAGAATACTATTTTACACAATAACTTAGGTTGGCTCATCTCTCTATCTTTCAATTTACTGTTAATCTATAATAATATTACATCATTTGTAATGTATGCTATATTTATGTATAATTTGTTACTGTTCATATTTCATGTTGGCTTCCTCTATACATTCTGGTTGTTCTTAATTATTTGCTAACTTTGGAGTTGCATAAAGGGTATGTAAAATACTGCTGATGACTTAGAAGTCAGTACTATACAAAAAGTTTATACTCAGAAAAGTAACACTCTCTCTTCATCCATTCTACCTCAGCCCTATTCTCCACTTTTCTCCAGCTCTTTCTCACCCAGTACTTGTAAGTAACCAAGCACTTTAGTTTCTTTATCTTTCATGTATTTCTTTTGCACAAATGAGCAGATATATATGTATTGTTTTATATTCCTTTAGTCTTAAATGAAGATTGCCATACTACAGATATTCTTCAGTGCTCTGCTTTATATGTGTGAATATATCCTAGAAGTCACTCCGTATCAGTTCACAGTGGTCTTCCTTGATCTTTTCACGTAAGCACTCTGTTTTGTGGATATATTATAATTTATTTAACCAAGATCCTATGTATGAACAATTGAGTTTTTCCCAATACTTTGAAATTTTTAAAAACATCACAATGAATTACTTTGTGCATGTATACTTCATGTTGTTGCAGGTGCATTATCAGGGAGACTCCCCAGAAGTGAGACGACTGTCCCAAAGGTAAATGTGCCTGTAATTTTGTTAGCTTCTACCAAATTTCCCTCTAGAATTATATTAATTTGCATTAATGCCAACAGCATATGAAAGTGTCTACTTCCCCCAGTCTCACCAATAGAATGTTTTATGATATTATTTATTCTTTTAAGGGTCTGGCGAGATGTGGTATCTCAGTGGTGTTGACACACACATTTGTAGTTCTCTAATTATGACTGACCCCAAATATTTTTTCATACATAGAATGGTCGTTTTGTATCATTCTTGTGAACTTTTTGTGTATGTCTCTCCCCTCCCCCCTTTTTTTCCTATCAGAAATTTGGTCCTATGACCTTTAAATTTTAAATTTTTCTTAGATGTTAGATATGCTAGCTTTTTGTTATGATATATGTTGCAAATATTTTGACCTAGCTTGTCAGTTGTCTTTTGATTTTGTTTCAAGTATTTTTTCATGCCAAAAATTAAAAAAATGGATGTGTAATGTGTCAGCCTTTCACTGCACCTGAAATTTGAATCATAATTAGAAATTCTTTACACTTGAAGTAAAGAGGAATTCATGTATGTTTTCTCCCAGTACTTAGTGTCACTTATTACATTTAGCCTCCTTACATCTTTAGCATTTGCGGTGGTTGTTCATAATGATTTGAAATAACAGAATTTGGGGGGACTATTTCAGGTGTCCAGGCCTCTTTATACTCAAAACATTCTAAGAACTGCCCTGACATTTTTATTATTCCCTAC